AACACAAGACTCAAGGTGCGGCCTCACCAGTTTAATTTTCTTTCCTTCTTTCTGAACCATTATTCCAACCCAGAGACATGGGAATGGTTTATCCCCAGGGGCAAATGAAAGTAACATCTCTCACACAATGCTCTAATACCAGTACCAGAATATAGGCTCAGATACAATAAAAATATTTTTAAATTGTCAGCATTCACTATATGGTGCTAACACTTCGGAAAACTAGACTGTACTCTGCTGTGCAGAGTCCTACATACCCAGTGTAACTAGATGCTTCAAAAGAGAAAAAGCAAATTATTAAATTCTTTAAATTGTGTTGTCTCATAACCAGTAAAGGGTAAGTATAAAGCCATTTCTCCTGCAGTCAAATTACAATTTTATTATTAGAAAAATGGAGATCACACCGTATAACAGAAAGTCAAGGTACTAATTAAATTTGGCATACCAGACAAACGACTGCCAGCTGGGTTATGTCATCTTTAGGCTGACACACTACTTCTGGTACCAGCACAGAAGATATTCAAGACTTATAAAAGTGAAGTGGGATCAGCGATTAACACTTCACCATCACACGCACTTACCTTATCAGAACTCGTACTCAGGCTAAGCTGGATAATAATACATCCAGGAAGGTCAGTTTAAATACCTTGTCTTTCTGCTGCTTCCAAGAGATAGTAACTTTTCTAAATTTTACTGCTATAATTTACTCCTTTTCCCCTTCCTCTCATTAGGAAGCAATGACTAAAATGCACCATGAAAATTTACATGAATGTAAGACACTCCACATTAGCACTGATGAAAATGCTTGCAAGAGGCTACTCCTCCGCGCTCAATTTGTTGGTTTGTTGTTGTGGGTTTTTTGGCAGCACAGTTAGTATTTAAGGGGAATTTTCAGGACTAGATATTAATTTTTTTTTTTTTTCCCCACTATCTCCTATCTACCTAAGACTAACTGGAAGAACATCGAGTACAAAATAATAGTATTCAACACTGACAGCTGCAGAAGCACACAGAACTGGTAACAAAGCAGATATTCTGATATTCCCAACAGAATGCTCTATGGTTTGCTTCCATATTTCATCTCATTTGACATCACTCAATTGCAGCGTGGTACCTACCCGTAGTTATTTGAACAGCTGAAACTTCTATTTATGTTCTATACTGAGTGCAAAATTCATCTTGCCTACAACCTTGCTATAGTCTAGTGCTCTACAGAGTCAATAGCAAGAAGGTGGCACCAGAAGGTAATTTGTAATCTCATCAGAAACTAGGGAGGTGAAGGCAATTCATTTTACTATAGACGGAATCTCCCACTCCATTAATTAAAACGGCAGCCCAGAAAACGAGCTTTGGCTGGAGACCAACCTGCAGACTGCTAAACTGAGCTACTGGGATTCCAATTCTTTGTGTTTCACAGTCTAAATGTGAATTTCCTCATTCTTCCAGCAGTGTACGTTAGTAATACGTTGCAAGGCACAACAACAAGAATCAGCAACATTTCCCCCATAAACCCCAAGTTTTGCTGGAAGTATGAATAAAACTAAATCATGATCTAAAGCATTAAGCTTTAACAAATTCTGCCTACTTGATCTTGAAGGCCCTGGTTTGATCAGCAAGTCAACAGATGAACATGAGCTGCGAAGCAGCAGAGATGGAAGGGTCCATCAGGAACCAACTAATACAAATATTTGGAATGTGAGTAGATTTACATAGATCAAACAGTTCAGAAAGCTCACCCGCAGTCCACATGAGAACCACCGGCAGAACAGTTTTTCTCTAAATACCTGACAACAATATTAATTGAAAGGAAGAGAATTTGGAGACAAAAGGCTTTGATCTTCCTTAACTTGCTTAAGGTTTACAATGTTCACATGGGAGTTCTGTAGGGCCTAGTTTCATAATTTGATAATTAATATTGGTGCAGTAATATACCAACATATTACCAGATGAAAACACCCATGAAAAAGATAATGCTGCTTGTCAATTAAAAAGACAAATAAAATCAAGATCAGGGTTAAAAACCAAAATAATTTCTATTCTAAGAGAGAAAACAACTAATTTCAAGTATCAACTATTGAAGAGTGAACATTCTGGTTTAGTTTTTTCCTACACTTCTTCAAAGCAATGACAGAACGGTTTTGCTTTATATTTTTCAGAAAAATGTGTCTAACAGTAAAGAGAAGCAAGCTAGAAAAGTGTGACACATGAATACAGGCAATTTCCTTTGTTCTTCTTCATTAAAGTATTTGAATAGAACTCTACACTTACCACTGACATGCAAATTTCTCGCTGTCTATTTCTACTATTCCTGGCGGAGGAGCAACATGTGGTGCTGTCCTAGAGGCTGTGGAGAGTGAGGGGAAGAAAAAACAACTTGCTGAAACCATTTTTGTTCTCCTAAATGAAGCGCTTCAACCCTGTTGTCTTTCACAGGTACAGTTTCTCCTGTGTTTGTAAGCAAGAACGTATCCAGCTAAGGCAAGCCGCAGAGGTGCGCTAGGCAGCCTACGGATTTGCACCACAATTTACTACAGGGAAGCCGAGCGGGCCAGGGCCAAGGCCACAGCCACCACCAAAGTGCAATCACGGTGTAAGCACTTAGTGAATGACAGCTTCCAGAGTCACGATTCATGATCTCCGTGCTTCAGAGTACTCAGCACAATTTACGAGTGGCACAATACTCCACCAGAACAGGCATAATACACAACAACTATTTTTGCAATTCCTAAGTGGAAGCAAATGTAACGTAAGGAATTTTGTTGCCATGTCACCTCAGTTCCTTCTATTCACTCTTGGTCATCCCCTTAGTCACATTCTTTTCCAGTCACTTTCACTGTGGTATCTGCACCCATTTCAGAAACAGCACACTTAGATATGTAAGCCAGAGCCTGTCCTAACAGTTCAGTCTCCACTTTTCCCCCAGAACAAACAGCTACATTCCATCTTGTGTGCACCTGTGCCAGGCTGCTACAGGCTTTCACTAGTGAAGCCAGAATGAGGTACATATGCTATTCCCTTGACCAGTATGTGCTGTCAACTTCCGAAGTGCAAGAATTTAAGCACAAAATAGATCCACGAGAATTAATCATAACTTAATTTACAATTAAGAAAATACTTTTCAAGCTTTGAACAACAGTTAATTCCATTCATATCACAATAAGCTCTTCAGTACCTTCAATAGAAGTATGACTCCATGTGTCTATCTGATCTCTGCAATTCTATCAAATGCTACATTTACTGCCCAACAATATTCTGTGTAAAGAACAATATAAAATGGACCTCTAATTCTCTGCAAATTGTGGGAACAATCTAGAATGGAGTCTTTCTCCTTCCACTGAGCAAGTTAAAATAAGGAGTGTACATAATGTTCAGTAAATTTTCAGATTAGCAACTTAAAAATATTAAAATTCCCTTAACGCTTGTTTCACAACAGTTCTGGCTAACATAGCTTTATATTTGCTTTGTGAATGAGTGCCTGAAAACCATATGTTATGCATCACAATAATTTACATAAATGAAGCAAAAATCTACAGGAAACAAAAATCGTACATGTCATATAGAAAATTTTGTAGAAAAGTCTGTTCCCTTGCAGTGAGACTAACCTGGGACACCTGCTGCGTGAGCCTGTGAAGAACCGTGATCCATTACTTGTGGTCTGACATCAGGTACTCCTTGCTGGCTAATGCACTGATGTTCAACGAGTTTTACAGCAGTAAGTGCATCAGGTCCAAACATCTGGATGTCCATAGAAACCAGACATACTAATGTATCTAAAGTATTAAATGTAAAACCGACAATGACATTAGGACAAAACAAATGAATGCTGCTGGGACATACTGACCTGTTTGAAAATTGCCATGAGTAGAAAGAAAAAAAACTTCCACATGCTTCTGTAATTATTATTTTTTTTTAATACACTTCATGGCATTAAGCGTTAAAGAAAAAAAAAAAGACTTTGAAAGTTTTAGCTTCCCTAGTTATTAGCACTATCAACTTCTCTCTTTTATTAAAACCTCCTATTTCAACATCCATCCCTAAGCTGCACACATACACGCACACACAAGGAAGCCACGTTTTTAATCACTGAATACGATACATTCTTAAGTCCTTTTTCTGACGTAACAGTGAGAGTAATAGATTTTGCTTCTCCCTTACCTATGCTCTTCTCTACTTTGGCAATCTTTGAGCAGGCCACTTCTCCCATTTCTGTGAGCATATACAGCACCTCAAGTGCTGAGATAACAAGCAGCACATCTGGTAGCGTGAGATGACATATGATCTCTTTATAGGATTCTTGATCCACATATTCACAAATTAAGACACCATTATCTTCAGCCTTACAAAGATTTGCCAAAATTTCCATGCCTGAAGATCAAATACAAAATAGGTTTAAGCAGCAATCATCAGAATTCTAATACAATAACAAGAATAAGTAGTGATCTTACCTCTCATTTTTAAAAACCTATCCCTGGACATGAGGCATTTTGTAACAGTGTGAAACATTAGATGAGTAGTTTTGAAATCAACAGGATCCAAAAGAAGCTGATGAGAAAGAAGAAAAAGAGAGTATGGCTAACGCTATTTATGCAGTGTCAGTGGCTCAAATCCTTAAATTTACATATCAAAATACAAGATTCAGAAGTGTTTGAATGCAGCACATATGACATTTCTGTTCACAACACAAAACAGAGCTTTTTATTGTAGCTAGTAATTTGAGCCCCCTCATCTTTTTCTGCTCTGAAGTAGCAGCCTAATTTACACTTTTCAGTGCTCAGAATAAGGAAAGTAACTTTATTTCCAGGCAGTCAATAGTATACACAAATGTATTTTAACACTCAACAAAGTACACAAGTAACAAACTCCTTCCCAAACGCTATCACAAGTCTTTCATCCTGTTTCAATCTACTTCTGCTTCTCAATCAGAGCATTGAGACATTCTAATATATAACACTCACTCAAGAGAAGCTGGATACACGATAAATGAAAACTTTTCAGCAGTGGACCAGCCTTTCAAGTCTCATTCTCCGGTACTACCCATTTTACTTAAATCTTACCCATTTTACTTAAATCTATCTGTTATATTCTCAAATCAAGGAGCATCTGAACAAATTACCTATAAAATTAATATAATTTATCTGCATAATGATACGACATCCGGAAACAGTGTCTTTTACTACATTCAAACCTCCTTGCAAATCAAAAAACGCCTCACGAGATTCAGCAAGTACGCCCAGTGCCATACGACTAACCGGGGCCACTACACATGGCATAGAACTCTCTACCACTCCCCTTCTCAAAAGTACTATTTTGAAATTATGACTAAAGGTTATAATTATAAAGTGAAGAAGCTAATACACAGTCTGCAGAATTTAACTAAGTTCTTTTCTTCCCTCTGGGAAACCAAACTGAAAATTATGCACTATGAATATCTTGTATCTCTCTATACAGTCAGTCTTCTTCATGTGATTCTTTTTAGCAAATCGACACACACAGCCTGTATTCTTGTTTTGACGCTGAAGACTTGTTTCTAAATTGCTATTTACAAATTTGGAGAATAATTTATTCCCTGCTTCAGCCAAAGATCGAGGAAAAAAGTAATTAATTTAATTAACAGTGAAGTAACATTTTTATTAAATTGTATTTTATTTCTTCTGTTTTAAAGCACGTTACCTCTGCTGCGATATTTCCCAGCGTGTCCAGCCCCAATTGCCGTAGAGAGATAAAGTGACTATGAGCAGAGAGGAGCAGGAACCGAAGACAAGTACGATTAGCTGCCAAAAGTTTAACATTTCCCTCTTCAAAAGAAAGATTACGTAAAATCACTGCGATCTGAAGTACCCGCTGCCCTTCAATATCATTAATGCCCAATTTGCGAGGTGGATGAAATAAGGATTCCCAAATCCATTCTTCTGACGGAATATCTACGATGTAAACAAATACATTTTAGTCCTTCCTTTGCTGTATTTACCAACACTTACACATTAAGATTAACCAAGTTGTCTCACCTTGAGATTTGCTTCTGTCAGAAATTAGGTCACGAACTTCAATATCCTCAACAATATCCTTCCAAAACTACAGAAAGAATTAAAAATACATTTAATTTTTAGGGGAGATGATATTTCTTTAAATTTTTTTTTTCCTATTACATTAAAGTATTGAAAAAATATGAAAAGGACCGTTCTTGAAAAATTTCCTAGCACCTTAATTCAGCTAATACTAAGTGTATTTTTCACTTGCAGGATGATATGCAAGATATTCAGCAACTCATATTAAGAAACTCTTTCCTTCAAGCACCAGAAGTGTGCTTCCATGATCAACCAATCCTACCACAGAAGTCCGTTGCTGAAGCACATACTGAAACTCTATGGGCTATTTCCCAGGAACAACCAGAAATACAGCAACCGTAAGCTGAAAAAAAGTACAGCTCATCCTCCTTCACCTCCTACAAACAGCAAACTTCTAAAGCATTAGATGGTGACTCCTTGAAGTTTCAGTAGATCTTAGACTGCTGCTAAAAGTACAACAGTCATATTTCTGCTTGGAGAGACTTTCTAAAGCTTCTGCTATGCTTTCCATATCACTGTAAATCAATGAAAAGAGAGGAGCAACAACCACCATTACCAAAAACCTTTGTAAATATAAGCCACTCAGAATGCTACAGCAGACTGAAATTCCAATTACTTTACAAATTTAAGGCCTGATCTGTAAACACTAGTCCTGTTCTAACTCAAGAATTAATCAAGGAATTAAGGTTTGCAAGCTAATAAAAATACACACTGTGATGCATTTTAGTATAAAAATATATAATAATATATACATTTTAATGTGCATATTATGACAAAAATATAAACATTTCTTCGAGAAATAAAAATTTACACATTCCTTTGGCACACTAATGAAATACAGCTCCTCTTTTGGCTATGAACACAGAATATAACCACAAATAAATCAGGATAAAAAGGGAAGTATGGGAAGTGCAACCAGCTGAACAGCAGGAGAAATTCTGCTATGCGAATATGATTACTAAAGTACAACATTATTTTCACAGAATTACAGAATTATTTCCACAGAAAGGATTATTACCTCATTTTAGCAAAGACAAGAAGAGGCAGATAAAAGTCTAACTTCCGTTTTCGAAAAACAGATTTTTCTAATTAATACTGCAGCTATCATCAAGAGCCACAGAAGACTGAGGCATGTAGGTAAACTTCACAGAAAGTACTTCATTTTGAGCTGCCTTTACTTTTAGAGAAGCAGACTATTTTAAAGGAAGAGGCTTACGTCATTATTTTAAAAAGCATACAGAAATATATTGCCTGGAACTACACCAGTCAGTAAATTTTCCTTCAGCAGGCTTCCTTTTGAAAAAGGAATGAACACAGTAAGTCTACTTGAAAGAAAAACCTCAGAAGCTTTTAAAGATTAGTTGATTACATTAGTTAAGGATTTCTTTAAAAAGTGAACATCGAGCAGAGTTTCTGGGAGTCTTCAGCCTGAATTTTTTGAAAGAGGCCGAAGTCAATGACAATATAATGTTACAACCACTGTCAAAAGGTGAATGTTAAAATAGCATCATCCCATTCTGCTTGCTGAATCATTCAACAATCCACTTCTTGCCACTTAAAATGAAACACCTGAAAACCTCTGGTAATACAGAGTCATAAAGAAGCAAATCTTTCTACCCAGTGGGCAAATCATCCTGGACATGTTCTCCAAGGGATGGAAAATGAGAATGTAAGGTTTTTGCAGATGAAGTCACTAGAGACACTACAAAAAAGTAAAACTTCACTGTGCTATGGTTAAAGATGAAAGCAGGACTACATCACTGGAAAACTGTACATCTCACTTAAAATTTGCAGAATTAGCAGATCTGTGCCTGCTCCTTTCACAACTAGGAAAGACTCTCCTCCCTAAAAAAGCAGTGTGTCAAACAATGCTGTCAACTCAGACGACATTATCTTTTACAGCAAAGAGTAGAACACAGCTCCTCTCTGTAAGTTAAAATGAGATACACTTCAAGGCACCCAATTGTTTACTTACATGCAACTCTTGTTCTTCAAATTCTTTCATTATACAGCCATGCTGTGAGTGTAAGATGTCAACTGCTCCAACTAGAGGACTGTTTCCTCAGAATTAGCCAGAGCATATGCACAAGGCCCATTACCTATGTGAAGCACACCAGAATAATGTGTGTCCCCCACAGCCTCTGCTCCTGAGTCCTAAAGACCCGGAAAGGCTCTTCAAGCTCTCAGGAAGAGAATCCGCAAGATGGGGCATGAATGTGGAGACAATAGAACTTCAAAAAGAGGTGGCTGAGTCACCATCCCTGGAGGTGTTTAAGAGAAGGGTAGATGTTGTGTTGAAGGACATGGTTTAGTGGTGTTCATAGGGCTAGGACAAAGATTGGACTTGATGATCCTGAAGGTCTCTTCCAGCCAAAACTGTGCTATGATTCTATGAATTTAAAAAAAAACACAACAAGTTTTTTTTCCTCTTCACTGTTTATTTCTACACACAGAAGCACTGTGGGTGATAATGCTCACCACAAACATCGCTTTACCTGTGGCAGTATTCTTAAGAGTTTTTGGCTTGCTCGAAACTGTGGGTTTGCCTTCCCAAATCCAGCATCCCTCACGGGTGTTTCAGCAACTGTGTAATGCCTACAGCGGTAGCAAACCAGGCTTCCCGTGAGCACTCTGCAGATTTTAAGATTTGAAACATTCCTCAAAAGCTCCAGTGATAACACCAAAGAACTCAGAAATATTATCCAAAAGACAATACCACCAGAAAATTTGGAAACATTATCCTACGTCCTTCATTCAACAAGCCAGTAACTTAAACAGCTTGTTACTAATGTGTTTGGAAATCCAAGCAGCTAAGACACAAACTATCATATATGATAATTAATGTATCTGTTTTATAGAGGGTTGCTAACTGTAGAGGAGTCAGAAATCCCCAGGACTTCAGCTGTTGACAAGTACGTTGCAACAATGAATGTGCAGATGAAGCCTGATATACATGTATCACTGCACCGAGCTCCAAAACACCTGAGAGCTTTACCAGAGAGGGCCACGGTGAATTCCTAGCCAAGGGAAGAGGCTTCTGTCTCTAATTATTTAGAAAGAAGAACGATTTTCTGTTGATTTCAACAAGCTATTTTCTAGCAGGCACCGTTACATAAAAGAGTCGACTATGTCCCTCAGAAAAGTTATTGTTTGGCTCAAGCAGCGACAACCAGCTTGAAGGAATGCTCTTGTGCACTGCATGCAGTCATGTAAGGAATTCAAAAAGTGCAGTCAGCCTGGCCTATGACAATCAAAGTCTCAATCAAATTATCAGGCATAAAATAAAGTTGTTCAAGCATTTTAAAAATTGTGTGTTTTCTGAGAGATGCTATGACAAACAGATTTCAGCTGGCCCCATATAAACAATAATGCAAAGTCAACAGTGAATATGAATTCTGCATCTTTCACTCTGAGGACTTTAACTGCTTCCTCTCATTCCTCTTGACATTTGTTTCCTGATTAAGCAGAAAAGATTCCCAAGAAAATGAGGGAGGGAAGGCAGAGAACGATAAGGTGGAAAATAAATTAAATAACTTACATACAATGTTTGTGATCTATCTATTAAAGAACAAGGTGACACATGACAGTATGTTTGTTTGCCCAAAGGAAAGGCAAAAGTGGAATACGGGAAAGTCAAACTTTCCAGGTGCTCTTTGAAAAAACATCCCTGTATCATAGAGGCAAGGAAAAAAAAAAAAAAATCAATTTAGCATCACAAGCACTTACTTATTCCCTACTATTAACTATGGATAGCTGCAATCTGGTATTAAATATCAACAGAAACAAACAAGAAAGGATGAAAAAATAAAGCTCTTTATCAAGTTATTCCTGCATAGGTATTTTAGGAGATAACTCGTAATAGGAATATAAAGCTAAAATTTGGAAGCAGAGGAACAATTCTTGACTATGTGACATCCAGATCCTATCAGACAACGGACGAAGGTAAAGAACTTGATTCATATGCACAATCTGATCATTGTCAGTAGCCAGGTTCCTTTGGAAAAAGATGCACAGGATTACAGATAATTCACTGGAAAACAGATTAACTAAATTATTGTCCATAAAAAGAAAGAACATTTGGGTCCACAAACCATATAATGTAGCAATGATAATTCCAAGAAAAATGTAGTCCAAAGTTAGCTTGACAGATCACTGTGAGAGAAAAGAGATGTGATGTTTGAAAAGTATTTCAGGAATTGAAATGCATAAGGATCTCTCTCTACACACTGAGAGAGATTCAAAGAATAAATGCATAGTAAAGAAAATTATTATTATACCTAAACAACAACAATAAATAAAACAAGAGTCATAAAGCATAATGCAAAACAATATAGCAAACAAAAACTGCATAAGGATGGATTTTAGAACACTATGGCTAGAGAAGGCTTCAAAGAAGTCCAAGAATGTGCAATCCAAATGCTTATTTTGAAGTAAACAGAAACAAATGGTGCATGAAGCAGTGTAATGCAGGTATTCACATACTACACTAAATAGTGTGTAGCTGCTACAGACATGAAAGAAATAGCTGGAAAAGCACCTAAATCTACCTGATTTTAAGCATGCTATATAAAACAAGTCACTCTTGAAAGACAAACTACATTCACAAGTGAATCTTGGTAGCATGTGAAAATTCAACGTGAAATGAAATAGTTAAAAACAGAAAAGCTTCCAGCAGAGATGAAAAAAACATCTGAGCAGGATATCATCAGAGCTTGGAGATGGGGACGACAAAACAAAACAAGGATACAAGATGACTGGCTAAATGCCAGTTGTTCCCACCTTTAAGTAAGGATGCAGTCATCCCACCAAACTAGAGATTTAAGCTCATTTACAGCACCAGGAAAAATCAAGACAGGAGGAAGCGACAAATTAACATAGCTGTAAGGTTCAACACCAGGCTATACCATAACACCAGGTTCAACTAAAATGACATCCAAATTCTGACAATTAATGGAACAGATTCACCAACTAGTGAAAACATTTGATTCAGTTTAGAGTGAAGCACTGTAGAAAGTGAGAAAATAATGCAACACTGCAAATAGGAGAATGGAAGTGAGGAATTTTCCAAGTTTTTTTATAATGCAGCAAGGATTTGAGGGGGAAGGGAGGAAGGTAACTGATTCCCTCAACTTTAGTATAAAGAAACAAGCTTTTTTTCATCTTCACCTTCAACTGAAAGAGTAGTAATGCTGGAGGACACAACTAAATAGGCAAGCTCCTTTGTAGACTGTTCTGAAAAAATCATACCACATATGTAAAGTAAGAATGATTTTAAGTCAACATTAGAGACCAGAATACAAAATTGAAGTATTGGTGCTTGAACAATTGACAAATTCTTTGCAATAAATTAATACACAACTCAAGAGCTGACTGAATAATACCGAATAGCCAAGAGTTGTTTTGTAGATACTTAAGGACGGAAGAATTAGTAAAGGTGATGCTGTACAACTCACAGTGTGCAAATACACAGTTGAATGAAGAGAAAAATAATGAAGAAAAACACACAGCCATTCTTCTTTATTGAAAACTGATTTTAGAATACTAATATTAATAAGAACTAAACAATAAATCAATCTTATTTTAAGCAAACATTAAAAACTTCCACAAAGTATTTTACTATAAATAAAGAATTCAAAAATTACTCCCAATGTCTGTACAAAGACATTGAAATAAAGAAACGAAACGGCTCTATAAAATCCAACATTCCAAGTTTATGTTCATATATTTCATTAAATCACAGAATCATAGAACTGCTTAGGTTGGAAAAGATCTTTAAGAATACTGAGTCCAACTGTTGATCTAGCAATGCCAAATCCACCAGAAAAGCAGAAGGAGCAGTCTGGGAAAAAGTTAGTATGAGTAGCTGTACAGATGAAATGTCAAATATTCTGAACATTTCACAGATGATGTGCATTTGTTTCACTGTATTTGAAAAGCAATTTTCAGTTAATAAAGACTAGGAGTTGGTTTGTTTGGGATTTTTAAAATATTTTTGTATAATACTGACATACCAACAATGAAACTGACATTGGATTACAAAGAAACCCAAGTTTACGGTTTCTCTATGAATCCTGAATTTAACCCTGAGAATTACTTTTACAAGAGCTTCAAGACTTCTAATATTTCTCAGCCATCCCCTCAGCCTCAAAACCCCAACACATGAAAAATCCAGTGCAGTCTGAGGGAACCATTCACAAGCTCAAGAAAATTTCTATCAATTCAATTTCTATCAACTTGGAATTCGTGTGTTTAAGAAATTGTCTTTCCCACCCTATTTTCTCTAACATTCGTGTGTTCATGCCATCACTGTGTTTTAATTCGTAATTCTGCATTTTTACCCTCCCACTTCAAAACTCTTCTCCATTCTCATCTTCACACAAATTTCTGATCTGCTGATGTTATAGAACAGAAACAATTTGGAACAACAACTTTACAAAATCAAGACACAAAGCAAAATGAAAAAAAAACAAACAAAAAAATACAAACTTTTTAAAAGGTAATGTGAACAGTGAAAGGAGGGACATATATTCACTAGCCATTCTATTCATCCTAAAGCCGCAAAACCAAGTATTAAAAAACCCGCCAGATGCAGTCTCCACCCTGCCAACCAAATATCCCTGTCCTATGTCATGAAGCTCCCATAATGCTTTCCCTCCTTTCTGTTTTTACACAGCCACAGCTGCAATACAAAATAAATTACTTCCAGCAGTAGAGTCAAACAAATGATTCAAGTAAGATGTTCTGAAAAATCTGGATTCTTAGCAGTAGAGATATTTTTAGCTCTGGTGTTAGCTTCTGATGTGCTTTCAGCAGTACTTCACTACCGAGCAGTACTATACATGTTGTATTGCTCAAAAATAGATCTTGGAGAGCATCCAAGTTTCTTATTAGTAAATCTTATTGCAGTTACAGCGGTTCAACTTAACACTTCGTTAAAAACATTTATCAGAACCATCTGTCCTTATCTATCACGATTACTTAAGTTTATATAAATTAAAGAACATGCAATAAATTAGAATTCTGTGCAATTTTAAATGTTTACAGATCTAGACATGGTGCTTGTTGCTGCTCTAGATCAGCAACAGTCTGTGACAGTTTAGAGTGAAGTCAAAACAGAAGCGGTAAGTGCTTTAACAAAAAAAAACAACAAACCAAACCCAAAACACAACCTACAGTACTTTTTGACGTATTTTTCAATGTAAAAAGGAAATTAAGATTATGAAACACTATTTTTCACACTTGCCTTCAGCACATTTGAGTCACATTTTCAAGTTCATAAACTAGCAAGTATGAGAGCTTACCTTTTTGGTTCTTAACTTTACCTAGGGAATTTTGGTTCGGGAATCCATACGCTGGTATTTCAGAAATACTTAAAATTTAGCTAACAAAACCATAGTCCAACTTGTTCCAGAACTGAGTTACATTAAAATAAAAAACAAATATAAAAAGCTCCTCACAAATATTTCTCTACAATACCGGTAAGACATTTCAGTATATGAGATGATTAAGAAATGGAGCAGAAGCACAGGTATGAGTTCATAAGGAACTCAGCAGCTTATCTCTTCACATTTTTACTTAATAACAAGCACAAGTTATCAAAATATATTTTAATTCAGCTTTCTTCTAGTTTAGCCACAAAAATCATCACTTGAAATTCAGTTTAAGGACATTGTGGAACATGGCAAATATGCTGAAATGTCAAATCTCTTTCAGTTATAATATATTTCATGCTCTTGTTCATCTCAGAATGTTCACCTAGAATAAAGAGGAAGCATTTATACGAGGAAAGTTTAGCTGTATTTTCACCTTATTTCATTACTTTTGCAGCAGATCATGCCCTCTAGTGGAAAGATAAAGTCCCGTTTAAAAGTAGTTCAACTGAAACAACCTTGAAACATTGCCAACTTACTCAAATTTGTCCTATGCTTCTTATGGACTTCATTCTCATAATCAAGAATATATGTTTATTTATCATGGAAGTTTAAAAAAAAGAAAACGAAAACAAACCACCAAGAAACCCACCACTGTTGGCCAGTTTTCCTCACACATGGAAACATGGAACCTTTTTATTCACCTGTTTGCACCTATTTTTTCTTGATACATTTCTTCCTGCTTATCCAAATACTTTACGACAACTGTAATTTAGTTTCCTATTGTATTTAAATCAAAGGAATAAAGTTGGGAGTAATTCTAAAGATATATGCTAGTACATAATTTTCTATCTTTTTAAAGGATTTGATACCTGCCACATGCAGTTCAAAATTAATAGTTTTTAAATTACCTTAACAAAATCTCTATCAGTTTTCTCCTTCCATTCTTCTCCAAATACAGCAGAAAATGATCCTAAAGCTTTAAGCATAAAAACAGAATTTAGTAAAACAAAAAAATGAACATTTTTGACTTCTTACTAATCCTTAAACTATAAAAACATTCAACAACAGTACAGACTCTTCCAGTGTTCCTTTTAATTTTTAAAAAATTCTGCATACACCAATTGAAATTTCTACAGTAATTTAATAAACTGCTCCTGCACTTCTACAGATGAAATTGAAAGTAAGAAAGAACTAGTTTGTGAACCCTTTAAAAAACACATGGAGAAACTTTTCCATAGCTCTTTTCCAGGAGTCAAGGGGACTGCTCAGTTTTCAACCTCACATCAGCTGTTTTCCACATGCACTGTGTTAGCTGTAAACCCTACTTCAGTAATTAAGTAAGTTCCCACTAATGTCTTCTAAAAACTGTAACAGTAGCAGGGAGATTTTGACAGCACTCAATTGAAAGTCAATATTTAACCAGGAAGTGTAATGGATGTTCTTGGGTGTTTAGTGGATCCGCTACTACAAATTTTCTCATCATCACTCCCCAAAAGCAGCAAAGACTCAGTCGATCTGACTCAAAGGTTGAGTCAATCCAAGAAAATTCTTGTCTTGCAACAGTTCTGGAATGAACTAATGATACTTCTAAGTTACTCTTAAACATTTTGGTTCATAATGTTTCATTGCTTTGAGCAAAATCTTAAGAATTTCAATTCCAAGACTACTTCAGCTTTCAACTCACAGAATCCAAAGAGAGGCTTATGAGCACTCCAGACCCAAGATGCGACAGAACCCCAAGCCCTGGGGCTGCCCTGTCATCTCCCACTTAACTGTAACCTCCGACTTCATGGGGGGAAAAAGGAAAACTGCACACGTATTTTTCTTGTTATCTAGAAACACTGCATTACAAATACTAACAATGGTAAAATCTTAATTATAGACAAGCCAAATTTAAAACTCCAATCAGCTGCCATTTATTTACACCTAAAGTTACCGTGTCAGTATTTTCATACTACCTGAATTTTCTAATTACAGATTTAATTTAATCAGCAAGCCTGATAGATTTACTTTCATTATTTGTAACATTAATATAATAGCAGGTAAGTATTTCAAACTGAAGTATTCATGCTTCAAAAATAAGTAAATACACACCTCCTTTCCTTCCCCGATTGTCCCAATTAATCCTCCTAATGGTGCTAGGACACTCCCTGTATTTATCTAGAAGATGTCATCAGGTAAGACAAAAATTAAGCTTTCCCCAGGGAATGAAAAAAAGAGCAAGCCCATTAAAAGCTCATCATTCCTCTTGGCTTTAGATCAAATATTTTTTCAATATAATGCTAACACAGACCAGCTATAGAAGAAGCTTTTGCTCAGGGTCCAAGTTTTAAGAAGCCAAAAAAACCACTGTTTATCTTTCCAACGGTCAAAAACAAAGAATGAAATCACAACACAAAATCTGATTATATTATTTCTAAATTCTAAACTCTGTAAGAAATTCAATCAGAAGAATGAGGGAGGGATGGTAAACTCAAAAATCTAGAGAGCAAGCATTCTAGAATCACTAACATGCAGAACTAGGTTTCACTTTAGCTTCCTTTTAAGTGCTTTTTCTTTGAAAGTTCTTGTGGTTTGAGCTAGGTAAAGAAGCTAAATGACTGAGATCTAATAGTAGCTGAAGGGCATGGGTACAAATCAAAAACCTAACAGAGAAGCTGGAGAACATTAATGTAGTATTGGGGGAGAGGAATAGGAAGCTACAAATCATTATGTAAAAATGTTAGCAATTAAAAAAAGACCAAACAGTATATAATGCCTAACGCTGATACTCCCCCAGAATTTTAAACCAGACTCTTTGACATACCACACTAGGTTTGTGCGAAGTAGATTTATGCTCAAACAGGCATGATCATCTGTACTAGCAGACTTAAATTACAGTTAGCTGAAAAAGCTCATTTGAGCCATTACTCAAGGTGGTGATTTCTGAAATTCAGTACAAAAAACCAATAAATAGTTCCTCCTCACCAGCAGCAGACAGAAACTCTGCTGTTCTGATTCTAGGATGGTTTGGGTTAACTTATTTTTTCCCCCCTCTCCTTGGCAGAAAAACAAACAAGCAATTAACAAGGAACAACTTGGCACGGAGGTCACACTGAACAAGTCAGAAGAATTTATTTCACATACTGAAGGGTTTCAATGGAACAGACTCTCTCTTTTCAAATTTATGTGCTAGCACATTAATTCTGAAACTTGGAGTTAAGATTTTTATCCCTTGAATTTTGTATTCTGAATTTCACTACATTTCAATGTGTAGTGAAGTATCCGGATAAAAGTCCGCTCTTTTTTAATTTTTAGATTTCTGACTGCTATTAGAAAATATTTATGACAAGTCAACATGGCCTTACGAATTCAGAAGAAAGAACTAGAAGCAAATTTGAGCATCTTGAACAATTAAACTGACAAACTATTTCTTACATTTCACTAACATGTTAACTAACTCCATTTTAAATTATGTGACTTAAAAGGTACCTGTAATATCTGGAAAATCTGTAACTGTGGATAAGGTAAAAAAACCCCTAGATATAAGTAGGTTAGAGTGCAATAAACTATCAACATTTTGATTATTAAGGTTTGTGAAAGATGCTACAAGAAGTATAAACTCTTTCTGTTGCAAAAATGTTGTTATATACTTACTGTCATCAAACACCCCAGCATTTGCAAGCAGCAAAGTGATGATTTTAGGGTCCTTTTCAAGCTGCATAACATGCTTGCTTTCATTTGAAAGAAGAGTACATACATTAATTGCAAAGTCCACTTCATTTGGGAGTCCAGATAACAGCGAAAGCACCAATTTATTATAGTCATTTGGTGAGTTTAAGTCCATGGAGAGCCCATAGCTTTGACGAAGGTAATCTAAATAAGAAAAAAAAAAAAATTCTCAGCTAACCGAATTAATATTCAGATGACACATTAAGCAATGTTACTATGAATGATAAGTAAATTTTCTAAAAGTTTATTATTAAAGTATTGTTGGTTTTAACAAGCTTTTACAGTATTCAATTTATTTTTCTTCCATTAGTCTTTGGCCAAAATGCTGAACACATTCTACTCAGCTGTCTAACTTTCTAGTAAGGTATTAATTTCTTCATCATCTCCAGAATGCAACAACGCAGTACGTTCTCCCAAAGAAAAGCTTTGAAAATGCAAACTTTAATTAAAACAGAATAGAATTGTAATATAATTTGGAGTCACTTTCTACACAACGAATTACACAGCCATTCCACAGAGTCCGCCAGCTTCCAATTTGTCTGTTGGTTCACGTTTGATACTTTGGTCTCTAAATTATAGTGGTGTTGATTCTGGCTTCTTCAGCATTTGCTTTATTCCTCAGATTTTAAAGCTTAATTAATTGTATGCTCAATTCAGCTATTTGGCTCTGGAGAGAAATGACTGATGTGACAGAAATACAATCTGCAAATTTTCAAGGAACTTTTTTTTTCAAGACAAGTAAGTATTTAGCCCTGTTAATTAGAAAGATAAATAGTTTATGGACTTTCACATTTAGTTTGTTCTGGTTCACAGTGGAAAGGTTTGTGAGTATATTAAATTAATAATTTGAGTGACCTACGGATTTGATGGGTTTAACAATACTGTAAATTTATCTACACACTATTTCTGTAGCGTGTTGAAAAATATGTATTTAGAGATGGGGAAAAAAAATAGCACTTTTTCCTCAAAAGTTTACCTGACACACTGTGTTGCTGGTAGTTATAGGAAGTCGGAATTGCACCAATAGGAAGTTGTGGCTTTGGATTGCCTGGTTGTACCTCATCATCCTCCTCCCCAAAATGATGGACTTTTTCATACTTTTCTAGATAACTGGAATTAAAAAAAACACAAACACCAGAAGTTCTGAATACCTGTAGTAAAACTAAGTCCTTTGTCCCCCAAGAACTGAACTGCCAAAGGAAGCAAACTGTACAAACACAAAGATTTACTGGAAACAAGTCAAAGTGGTAGAAAACATAAAATATGATTCAGACTGACAATAGGTGATACAGTAAATGTAGATATATGGAATTACGGATTTTGATATTAAATTTCTTCACATTTCTGAACAATAATCCCTAACTAAACTGCAACTTGTTGATTCCAATGATTAAGTCCATTTTTCCCAAATCAGCTTTTGAAACCCAAGATAACCCTGAAGTTGGAAGCATCATAAAAATTACTCTGTACAGGTTACCAATACACATACTGAAGCGAAGTCCAGAAAAATACTTCTCTCTTTTTGCCTGACCTAAAGAGAAACAGCATACACACCAAGTCCTAACAATCAAACAACAGTAAGAGAATTTGGAGATACCGAAGGCAACAATTCAGGACCAGAAGTTCTGATCCACGGCTGCAGCTAAAGCCTACTGGAAATCCCTTTGAACCAACCCCTTAAGAAAAAAAAAAAGCTGATATACCACACGCAGAACGGACTGCAAGCACAGATGCTGTATATACACCGAAAGTAAACAGCCAGTCAGCTTGGTAAATTAATTGTCTCAATTAACAGTTAATTTAGCAGTAAAACCTGTAACTTTCAGAACTTTCTTCACTCCAATATCTAAAGTCAACTTAGAGGGCCCACGGTAGCCATAACTGCACGCTGATCTGTAGCTGCAAAACGCTTCACGAAATTACGTCAAGATCACAAAGCCACCTAAATCCAACATACAAACTTTCATTGTGCTGAGAACTGATATTATTGAATCAATTCAAGAAGAAAAATGCTGTATAGTAAGGGAAAAAAACCCCTTTATTTTATCTTTGTGTATGCTTAAAAAAATTAATATATGAGAAAACAAATGAGCTTTTGGTATGCCTTTTGTCAGTAGGCACTGAAGTCATTAACTCACAGTGAATCAGAAAGATTTTAAGAAAATAGTACTCTCATTGGCCTCTAGGGAACGTTTCACATGCATTAAATTAGTACTTACTTTATGAAGTGACATATCAGTGACATAATCACACCTTTAAAAGGTTAGCAAATACATTTTTTGCTAATAAAGTGGTACATTCCAGGAAAAGGGACAAAATTTCAGAGTTAATGAGGCATAACATGGTGTCCTGTCCTGTATCATATTGCAACTATGATTTGTGTCTGACTAGTGTTTAGGATATTTGAAGTACTATACATGTTACCGTGATGTGAATCACAGTTACAGTGCCCTCCTTACTATGTAGACGTCAGTGAGTTAAGGAGTCAGCAAAAATCTTCCCCTTACCGTTTGTTTTTAGGGAATTTAACAGATTAAAAGTTACATTTAAATACAGTTGGGTTTTATTTTCAAACTAAAAATTCCCATTTATGCAAATCAGGCTCCACTTTAAAATCTGAAAAAATCTAAAATCCTATAAAATTGTTTGTAGTTTTCTAGAACTAATCACTGAACACTCTCCTATCCAGTTTTTTTTAACCCAAACCCTTCTTTTTCTCCTCCACATTTTCCTTGCCATTTTATCCCACTTCCTTCCTGCAGTTTGTATCTTATATCCAAAAGATCAAAATCGAAATACAATCTATAGCTTCTATATGGCAAAAGGCAATTCTCAGCGTATGAGACACTACTGCCAAGTGGGAAAAATAAAAATAAAATAGTGCACAGTCCTTCCAAGTAATTTCTTTTTTTTTTTGCATTAAAAAAGACATTTAGAGAGACCAACTTAAATATTTATGGAACTGTTTTATTATTTTATTTCTTTCTTGCATTTTTTCAGAGAAGTAATGACATAGCTTTATTCTGCTTTAAGCTATTCAAACTTATTTTTTAAAAAAATAATTTCCTTCCAAAATCAGTGAATTGTTAAGCACTCCATAAATGAGCATTACATCACTGAATATGGCACTCACACACACACAAAAAGATTAGATGTGACAAATTTCGTATTTATCATTTACTCTAGAACTTGTTAAACATTTTAGGACAACTTTTAGAAAAATAACACAAATAGGATTTTTATACATGTGCGCATGTATATACATCATGCTTAAGCTGTGTGCAAGATTAATATTAAATACAGTATGGAATTAAGCAATTTAAAAGCAGTGAAGAGAGAAATACACATACTGTGTAACACAACTGATAAAAGATTTTTAAAAGCATGAAGCTATCTTAACACAGCCAAACATTCAAGTGCACAGTCAAAAAATCAATGGCTGGCAAAAAATGCACCACACAATCTTATGTGTCTCATGACTCCACGTGTTCTAAAGTGTTATCTGTACCGGCTGCTCAAACTAACTGTGTAGATACTCTAACACAGCTAGAAAACCAAGGTGTACTGGAATAGAAACGCTCATCTCTGACGGTGAAAGCGAAAAATCCATGGGTTTAAATCATCTAGAAAGTACTTTATTCTTACAGTAACAGAAGCATTTACTTAAGGCTCATTGTTTAGAATTATGTACACCTACATACTGACCAGTATCTTTTCGCTATTCTGATCATTCTGAACCCAGAAAATATTGTGGTGGCTATGAACTGAAAAAATACCAGTGGCTTATGTGCTCTGACAGGCTAAATTTCCCCCTGTACTCATTAGTGATTAGTATTTTAAAATAAACTTAATAGCAGCTTCTAAAATTCTGAGAAAGAATACATTCCTGCAATACCCTGAACTATGTGCGAGTCTAACAGTCCACAAAACTTCTCAATTTATCCTGTTCAGAAATGAACCATGGGAATAATTAAAATGTTTTCAATTAAATGCTGCTCACTGCAAAAGTCTAGTCTTCCATCTGCTACCAGCATGTTTGTTGTCTTTAAAACAGATCTGTAGACCACTGAGTCTGTCATCATCACTGTCATCATGGTTTGAATGAGGCTGCACTGTAATTGAGGTGACCAATATTGAAAAGATGATCTCACAAAACTTGTCCGACTTCTGACTGACAACAAGTGAAAAGGAAAGCGAAAAATCTTTTAACTGATCTTTCCTACGCGTGCATAAGCACATGCTTCGCTTTTATACTCACATGAGATTATCAAAATCTGTTGAATTTGAGGAGAAGACACGTCAAGGAAGAGATATGGCCTTCACAAAGTCCTGATTCAGATTAATCAAATCAGTAAGTCCAACCTATTTGTTTGTCTAATGAGACTTCAGAAGTGCTGTGGCTAGACTGAATTTCCTCCCATTTGATGGTCTGAGTCAAAGCTTAGGCTTAGCATAAACCGCTTCCATTAATGAACATAAGATTTCATAAAAATATTTAATACAATGAAGTAAAAATCCCTATTTAGAAACATATACAGTACTAAAAATACAACTTCCAAATCTACCACTATCCTCTTTCTGGACTTGTCCATTCCCAAGAATGAATAGCTATTTAAGCATACTTAAAAAAAACCAAAACAACAAAAGAACCCTCACCTTATGTAATAAAATAATCCATGCTGTTCCATACTTTAAAATACGAATACTGAACCTCATGCTTTTTATTAAAGCCATTTCCCAGCAGAGCTGAACAACATGAATATCCTAGATGTGCTCCTCTGTTAATACCTACTTAATTAAAATGTGTTATAACAGTCCTGCCAAACACAGAAACTCTGAACTCTGAAATTTCCAAAGTCTACTTCCCTTCTCCCCTTTTCAAAATCAAACACTCACACTGTTTCCCCACTCAGTTTGATTAAGACACTGGGGGAGGGGGGTGTGAAGAAAAAGCTTACGTATAAATTAGAAGATCTTTGCAAACTGGAAGTCAAAACTCTTTTCACTGTTAACAGTCCTCAAAGTTTTCACAAATATCTTATTAAATATTTCATAGTAAACCAGGATTCAAATGAACCTTAAGTGACGATCTTATTTTTCCCTGTGCCAAAGCAAGTACCAGCTTCACTTAAATTCTGAGCTCTTCTTGTTGTTACTCAATTTGCCAAATGTTTCACCTCTTCAGAGAGCATTCCCTCTTTCCAATCTCTCCCCAAAAACCGAAACATAAAATAAAATATAAAAAGCCCCTGACAGCCCCAAAGCATGAGTTACAAAAGCTAAAAAAGCAGCCATATGACAAATGGAAAGACCATCTCCAACTCTTAACATACTCTTATTCCTTTTAAGACACTGCTGATTTAGAGGGAGAATACTTCACTATTTCCAAACCCATGGAGTTTAACAGCACTATATTACTTGATTTCAGCTGTAATAACCAGGCCATAAAAAGACTGTTTTAGTGTGATTCCTAAGCCCTGACTGTTTACAGACAGCTGTACAGATCTCAATCCTCCAAACGTCCCTTTTGTTTCCTGCAGAGAGAATGCATGACCTGGAATTTTAGTGTAGG